TAGAAACTTACCTTTCTAAGCGCCCGGGGCTGGCAGACAGCGGGGCTCCTCACGGCTGTGTGTTCCAGATTTCGATTTCACCAACCAAGTATCAAGTGTGAACTCCTCGGGCACTAGAACAGCCTTAACATGGAGTCACAGGCAGCCCCCATGGGCAGCCTGAATCTATCTTGCCACCCAGGTGAGCCTGCCTTTGTGACAGACGGTGCCTTGCACCAAAAACCATAACAATATTCCGGTCACTCGGACCGGTCACTGAGCCGGGTCAATTGCACCTCAGATCTCAACCCGAAGACAACGTGCGTGGCCAATAAACTAGCTGAATCTCTTTACTAACTAGGAAAAGAAATAAGACACTTAATTACCAGGTTAAAGCAGGTAAACATACTCACACAAAGGAGTTACAGTCTGAGGTTTCACAAAGTAGTAGAAGCTGCTGTAACACGCAAGCTCCGTATGTCCCTTAGGGCTAACCCTAGCCAAACAGCCGGGATCCCTTGCTTACGCTTAGAAGGCGTGCCATCTCCCTGAAGTCCAAGCAGCATAGGGGCAACAGTTTCTTCTCGACAGGGATTTTTATTCCGTTCTTTCCCGCCAGCCCCCCCCCTCTCCCCCCCGAGCTCAAGCGGATGGGGCAAGCGTTTGTGCGGGTCTCCGCCTCCTGGTGGGCGTGTGACGGGGAGCAATCAACCAAGTCTTTTGTCCACGGATGATCCACAGTGGCTTGTCTGATGTCTCGGGGCCTTCTCTCGTTGGAAAGGAGATGACTCCTTGTCACGTTATTGACTTGAACTGGGGCCGTAAAGACCATGGTTGCAACCAAGGTCCCTGATGTGGTCGCACCAAATCTTGTATAAAGGGGGTCAAATGAGGTGTCTAAGACAAGGTGATGGTTGGCTGGTTATGATTATGCTCTCTGTATGTGTGCATCATTTTGGTAGTTGAAGTTATGAATATTGGCTGTATACTGTCCGTATTTCAAAGGTATGCTCTCCTTCCGGGTGACATCCCAGACAAGTTGGTGTCAGCTCTGCCTAGCCTGCTTGATGGCCCATTAAGGACCATCAGATATACCATTGACCCACTGAGAGAAGGCAGACACGCCTTGTGACTCAGCAAGGTATGCAGGGACCTGCCTATGGACAGAACTCTGAGGTTTTTCCATGCCATGGTGATGGAATGCTTGTCTTTGGAACAAAGAAAGAAAGACCACATGGCAAGAGAATATAAAAAGCTGCTGCAGCTCCTCCATCTGGTCTTCAATCTTGCTTCATACCTCTGGAGGGACTTTGCTACAAAGGGAAGCTCTACACAGAGGACTGATGACCCATCCCAGCGGGGGATGTGCTCCAGAGACTTGATTTGAACCTGCGGTTTATTCTATCACTGCTAACGAGCCTGAACCAAGAACTTTGCCATTACTGTCTGTAATTGATTCCATTTAACCAATTCTAGCTCTCATCTAGAGCTTTTCCCTTTTTATGAAGAAACCTTTCGATTTTTTTTTTTTTTAGAGTCTAAAGGATTGGCAACAGCGTGATTTGTGGGTAAGATCTGATTTGTGTATTGAGCTGGGTCTGGGCCTTGGT